GGCGGGGGGAACCCCTCATCTTATATTCGAGTACGGAGGCAATGACTGCGTCTCTGATTCCAATGCTGAGCTGCTGCTCACCCACCACCCATCCATTGCAGCCTTTGCCCTCCCTGCCTTTGTTCCCTGCCGTCACCTTTCCTGCCAACTCTTACCTTCCCCTTACAGCTCCAGCTCCAGCTGGGGCCCTGCTGTAGCCCGGGACAGGGAGCAGGAAGTGTATGCTGCATCCAGCTCTAGCCTGGCCATGTAGTGGCATGTCTGACTTTGGCTCTGGCTCCAGGCCTGGAGCTAAAGCTATGTAGCCAGGCTGGGGCTGGAGGTAGCACATGCTCAGCTGGAACTGGAGCTTCAGGGGGAAGGTAAGCAGTGGTGGGGTCAGGAGGGGCAGGCAGATAGGAGAGGGCAGATGCCAAGGGATGTAGGCAATGCGGGAAGGGTCAGACATCGGCGGGGTAAGTGAGAGGACAGGTGGCAGGGGGCAGTCAGTGGTATGTACAAGCACCACAGGAGCCCGCTTGAGGTACGTGGGCACCGGGGTGCAGGTACTGGAGGAGGAGAGTGGTGGAGGGAACAGGCAGCAATGAGAAAGGGTCAGACTTCTTGTCTCCCCTACTGCCTACCCCCCCTCCTCCTGCTATCTGGCCCCCCAATAATTAGATTCTAGACATGGAAAACAAATTTATACATTTTTCCATGTCTAGAATCCCGGCTCCAGCCCCTCCACCCCCACATGTGGCCCATCCCCAAACTTCCCTGCCTCCCCAACACAAGCCAGTTGCAGCCCCCACCATTACACCCCTCACCCCATAGTGCAGTCAGGAGGAGGCAATTGCTTCAGCCCTCCTGACCCCTGCAGCCCCCTGCTGAAAACGGGGGGAACCCAACAGCTTCTCTTCCCACCCCACCCTGTCCCTAGCCCCACTTTGACCCTGCCCTTGCTGCAACCACCCCACCGCCTCCACCCTCTCCCTCCAGAGCTGACCCACCTGAAGACCACCCTATAGATGAGTGGGTGTTGGTCCCCTTTAGGCAACCTGCAGCCACCAAAGTCAAAAGAAAGGCCCAAGATGCCCTCTACATCTATGGGAGGGCAGCAGGGCTGCTGTCAGGCCCCAGGCTAGGTGATGCCATGCACAAGACCCCTGCCGAGCTGGCTTACACCCCCCCAGCAATCAGGTCACTCAAGATTATGACCCTAAATATCCGCAGCTGCAGGATGGGTCTCCGCAAGTGCCAGGTGCACTCCTTTCTTCGGGAGTGGGGTAATCTGTGCTCTTCCTGCAGGAGACCCACATGACTTTGGCCACCGAAGCCAGCTGGCAGCTGGAGTGGAGGAATGGGGTGTTTTTCAGGCCCCTCATGGAGACTTCCTGTAGGGTAGCCACCCAGCTCTCTCTGGGCCTGCAGCTGGAGATCCTCCAGGACACTGAGGTGGTGCTGGGCTGCCTGCTCCATCTCTTCAGCGACCACTGTCTTGTTTATGCTTGGGTCATTCTGAGGCCTGAGTGTCCGGGGCTGGCCTGCTGGCATTTCAACAACAGCCTGCCGGAAGACGTGGACTTTGGGCAGCTTTCCAGGAGTTCTAGTTGGCCTGGTGTGAGCAGCGGCCAGCCTTCCTCTTGGCCTGGAGATGGTGGGACATGGGGAAGGTGCATGTCCAGCCCTTTTGGTGCAGCTACACCTGGAGGCACACCCGGCTTAGGGAGGTGGCCAGGGAGTAACTCAAGATGGAGGTGCTGGAGCTGGAGAGGCACCTGGCCACTGACCTAAACAACCCATCTCTCTGCGGAGAGTGTTGGGAGAAGTGAGAGGAGCTTTATGCTTTGGATGACTGCTGCGCCCATGGTGCGCTCATCTGCTCACACATCCAGCTCCTTCAGGAGATGGACCACAGCTCCTGTTTCTTCTGTGCCCTGGAGAAGAGGAGGGGTACCAGGAAGTACATGACTTGCCTCTTGCTGGGTGATGGCACCCTCCCTCATGGATCCAGGTGAAATGCAAGAATGGGCAAGAATGGGCGAGAGCTCTTCTCCCTGGATCCAGCCAGCACTGATTTCTGGGTCCTGTGGGAGAGATAGCCGCAGGTCAGTATGGTTGACTGGGACTACTTGGAGGCTCCTCTCGCCCTAGCTCAGCTCCCGGACATCCTTCACCTGATGTCCAGTAACACTGCACCAGGCATATATGGGCTGACCGCAGAGTTCTACTGGGCTTTCTGGGACATCCTCGGCCCAGATCTCACCGCAGTCTGGGCTGAGTCCAAAAGAGATGGGGAGCTCCTCCCTGTCATGCAGGAGGGCCATGCTATTCTTCCTGCCCAAGATGGGGGATCACCATGACCTGAAGAACTGGTATCCTGTCTTCCTTTTGGCATGGATTACAAGGTGGCAGTGAAGGCCATCTCACTGCACCTGAGGTCTGTGCTGGCAGATGTGATCCACCATGACCAGTTCTACACAGTGCCACGGAAGATCCATCTTTGATATTCTGTACCTGGTTCGGGATCTCCTGGAACTCATGCGCTGGGAGGGCCTGTCATTCGCCCTCCTGTCCTTTGACCAGGAGAAGGCATTTAACAGGGTGAATCATGGGTATCTCACAGGCACGCTAAGGGCATTTGGCTTTGGTCCCCACTTTGTGCAGTTTCTCCAGGTGCTGTATGCCTCCACAGAGTGTATGGTCAAAATCAACTGGACTGTGATGGAGTCCATCCTGTTCAGGCAGGGAGTTTGTCAAGGCTGTCTGCTGTTGGGCCAGCCCTACACTGTGTTTTTTGAGCCCTTTCTCTGCCTCCTGTGCAAGCAGATGGTGGAATGGGTGCTCCAGAAGCTGGCCATGAGGCTGGTCCTGTCAGCATACACTGCTGCTGTGCTCCTCACTGTCCAGGACCCAGGTGATCTGGCACCAGGTGGAAGCCTGCCAGTCCTTGTACTTGGTGACTTACTTTGCCCGGGTCAACTGGGTCAAGAACTCTGGCCTGACAGTGGGTAGGTGGTAGGTGGGCTCGTTCCCACCCACACTCCAGGGCATCCTCTGGGGCATCAACTCACTGCTGTACCTGGGGGTCTACTTTTCCCCAGGGAATCCTCCCTGCTGGAGAACTGACAACAGCTAGAGATCAAGGTGTTGAAGCAGCTGCAGGCATGGGCGAGTCTGCTGCTTCCTTTGTGGGAGAGCACTGATAATTAACCAGCTAATCCTGTCTATTAATCATCATCAGGCACCTCTTCAACATGCTGCCTATGCCCCCAAAGGTCCTGGCCAGGCTCCAGAGACAGGTGCTGGGTTTATTCTGGCAGGAACAGCACTGGGTCTCTGTGCAGAGGTTCCCCGCAGAGGCTCCTTTATGGTGCTGCTAGCAATGTGGTATGAAGCCACTTGGGACGCACCTTCCTCCACCACCTCTGAGGGTTCCAATTTGACCTGCAGCCATTTTACCTGCGGGGACTCCCCAGTCAGGGCTTGGAGGAGCTTCTGGGCTTCTACCAGGACCTCCTCAGTGCCTGGAAGCTGGTTTCCACCTCTAAGTCCCAGACAAGGTTGCCCAATGTGCTGACCTCCTTGCCAAGTTCCTACTGAAAAACCCGCAGTTGGTGGTGCTGGTGACAGAGGTGCCCTGGGTGTGCCAGAGGATGGTCCTGGCCCATATCACCCATATCAGGGACCTCCTGGACTATGCCAAGCAGGGATGGGCAGATCCCACTGTGCTGGCCCAGCACATGGAGCTGTCAGCACTGTGTGTGCCCTGCCACCTACTCCAGGAGCTCAAGGATGCCCTGCTCCCCACTGCCCTCGCCCACGTTGACAAGGCCCTGCACGAAGGCAGTCCCTGCCCCTCAATGTCCCCCAGCCCTCAAGAACTCGTCATGGGGCCCCTGCCTTGGTAGGCCCCACAGTGCTCCCTACCTTATCACCTGGACAGGCTGGGGGACACCAAGCTGGTCCACTTTCATCCAGCTTGGTCCACTGCCATCAACTCTACATGCTTGTGCTCCACACCATCCACCATCCTGTCCTCACATTCCCCCCAGAGAACAAGTGGCGATACACCCTTGGTGAGGGCAGGGGTCCCCCATGGACGAGTTTGTATTCCACCCTGTTCCTGTGAGTCAGACCTCAGCTGCTGGCTCCTACTTTGAGTGTGCCAGGTTGCAGCCCCTCTACCACCTGAGGTTCTGGCTGCACTATTCCCCTCACCTTTTTATTTATGCACTCCCTGTCTGTGGCCCCAGCAAGGCCCAGGACCTCCTGATCAACCTCTTCTTGCCGCTGGCCCTGGCCTGTGCCCTGGCCCTGGTCAAGTTGGCCGTGTACCTGACCAGGAAGGAGGTTCTGGCTGAGAGGGTCCCCAGGGATGGTGGGGCCGCTTTTCTCACCCTACTTCATTCTTGTCTCTGAGCAAGCTATCGCTGGGCAGTGTCCGCCGACTCCTGGACTCATTTGAGGGTCAGTGGGTGCTGTCCGGTGTGCTCTGTTCGGTGCCCCACCTTGGCACTCTTGTTTTGAACCTTTGACCTCCACTCCCGTCCCTGTTTTTTCATTATTTGTCCCCAATAATTAATTGCCATCCTTCTCTGTAGCCTTCCCATCTGAGGGAGGCTAAAAGGTTATGTGGTGGGCCTGGGCCCACATCCCTGAAGGATGACAAACAGCCTTGGTCACACAGTGGCAGGAAGTGGATGCTGAAAGGGAGAGAGAACTGGATATGATCAGGGTTTTCTCTACTGTTCCTCCCTCACTTGCAGCCTCCAGCATTTAAGGTATATTCAAAGTCAGAAACATATTGAACATCTATACTTGGTCAAAAACAGAAGGCAGCGAATCAGAAATGTCACTGAAATTTCTCCTGATCGCTTTTATCCAAACATTTAAAAATGTTGACTATCAATAATTCTCTGATAGATCGCTTGTTCTTTTCAACCCAATGGCAATCAGAATGTGGTTCCCTAGTAAATTAGCAAGTCTATTGTAATATTTTGTTTGCTTTTTGCCTGTAGACTTTGTATGGACACACCCAGGCAGTGACCTGCCTGGCCACCTCTGTGACCTATAGCATGATTGTGAGTGGATCTGATGACAAAACCTGCATCATATGGGACCTGAACCAGCTGACATATATAAGCCAGCTTCCTACCCATGGGGCAAGTCTCTCTGCTGTTGCTGTCAGTGATTCAATGGTAAGAACTTCATTTATCATCTTTCTCCTGACGCATCCATGAACATTTCATGATAATTTAATGGGTGCTCTTCCCAACATAAAAACATCCTGAGAGGCTGATAAATTGATTTTTCCTTTTACAGAGATTGCTAATAGTAGTCTTAATGATGAGGAGAGCACTAAAAGCAGCATCCTAGACTGACGAGCTAAGTAGGAGTAACCATGCATAGCTTGATAGTAAGATTAAACCTCTTTGTTTCTGAAGTGGTTGGAGAAACCTGAAACATTGTCCCAGGGGTTTTTGTGTTTGGCTCACCCATAACCCTATTGCTTCCATTCATTTCTCCTGACATCCACGTTATAGCAATACCAACAGGGACTCATTACACCTGAGTCCTCGGCCACAGCCTACAAGCTCTGTAAACCCCTGAGTCAGCGGTCTCTGCCCACTCTCCACTAGCAGCTACATGCTGCTCTTATCTTTTGCCCTCCAATTCTCTGCTGCTGTTGGGGGTGATAGAAGATTCATTTACCAGCAGTCAAAATGAAAAATGTGTCTGCGGTCTATCCCCAACCGCACAGCTGCATATACAAAATATCCCCACAAAAAGAATTAGAGGATATTGAGGTCGTGATATTAAGAAACCAGGAAGTCAGACCATGCTCCACCCATCTTCAAGGTTTCACCTCCTTTAACAGCTTAGTTTGTAAGCTTTTTGAGATGGGCCATCTTTTAGTTTGGTGTTTATACAGTTGGAGTCTTCATCTCTAGAATTAATACATAATAATGGCTCTTTTCACTAAAACCAGAAGGATGGGATTTTCCAAAACACTGAGTGGCAAGCACCCAAAGCTTGTTGACGAAACTTCCTTTGATTCCACTCGGTCCAGAGAAAGATCAGCATGAGGCATTCTTTATGATTCCTCCCAAAATCAACAGAAGTAGTTCATGTATTTTAAAATTAACCAAGTGTCAGCAAAATGTGCTGTCTTGTTAGACCCAGAGAAAGAAAATGTTTGTTTTTAGAACTGTTTTCACTGTGGCCCATGAACCACCTTGAAACTTGCCCTGGAGGGAATGTGGACTCTATTATCTATAGCCCATTCAGCATCTGGCTTCTTTGCTAAGGCTATCATAAAGTGGACCAGTTAAGGCTAATGGCAGTGGTGATAATTTTGATGTGGCATGGATACAATTGCATTAGATCACACCCAGTTGGAACAGATCTGGTCAGAAATGTACCAGTTGAAAGTGTTCTTGTGGGAAAAAGCCATTTGGTTAAAGCTTACGCTTCCCAGGGGAACTTGTCAATTATGAAAAGGATTCATTTCAAAAGGAAAAAAAAGTCTTGAGAAGTTGAAAATGATTCATTTTACCTTCATCATGAAAAACCTGTTTTGGTTTTGTATTTGAAATGGCCTTTTGTTTCACAACATAATTTACGTGATACAATTTAAAAAAACACTGAAATAAAAAATGGTTCAGTTTTATTGATGTGAAATAGGTTGACTCAAAATTTAATTTGCTTTTTGGTTCTGCTAGAAATTTCAAAATCCCTTTTTTTTTCTGGGATGAACAGATTTATAAATTGCAGAAAATTGTGTAAGATCCTTTCCATTGCCCAGATACTTCTAGAGGATGTGGCCTTGGGAGTTATTTATATTGTGGTAGCACTGAGGTGCCTATGTCATGGGCCTGGACCCCACTGCATGGGCATCATATAAACACAAAAGGGGCATGTCTACACATTCATTAATGCACCGTAATAGTGCATTACGTTTAGTGCTGTAATCGGCGCTATTGTCCGTTAGTGCAAACGAGTGGTCTTTTTATGACATTAATGTGCAGTAGACTAAATCTACTGTACATTAGTGCATTAACAAGGGTTTTGCAGTAAAATTAGTCTACTGCACTCGAAACATCTTGTGTAGATACACCCAAGCAGTCCTAGAGAGCTTACCATCCAGGTAAGATGGTAAAAACGTTTTGTCCGCACTGAACTTGGTTGGATGTGCATCAGTGATCCAGACCTGAAAAACTACTTAGCTTATTACTAACTTTCTGGTACCTGAGAGCCCTTACACTTTCACTTGCAGTGGTTGCAAATCATTGGAAGTTAGTGACATATTAAAGATAGTACACATCAGAAGATAACCCTCACCTGAAAGGGAACAACTTTGCAATGCCACAAAGGCACTTAACTTGTGCTAAACTGCTTGAATGTGTGTCTGCTTTCATTTCAACTGCACTCAGTAAGTGTTAAGTTGAACATGTGACACCACCCACAGGCTCCCTTACAGATGAAGCAGTTTAAATTTCATCTCTTTAATTACTAGCAACTCTCTGTTTCAAACTCACATCTGTCTGTCTTAAGGATTTTCCTCTGAGATGTAAAGAGCTCTGGTCAAAAATCAGGAGGTGGCAGAGGCACAGTGTTTGCTAATCTAAACCACATGCATGTTGCTAATCTAAGGCCAGGCTGGCCTCTGCCAGAAACAGATGCTTTTGTTGCTGCTGTACTATTTTGTTCAGTTCCTAGAAGGCATCAAAGGTGGGAAGCCTTGGGTGGAATTTAAATCGGGAGAGGGCAAACCTAAAGAGTTCAATAAAATACACTTTTTAAAAGACTTTGCAATATTACAAGCATCACATCTGCTTCGGTGGCTTTGGAAACAGGTATGTTCCTTGTTCCTTAGCATTCAGAGTTCTGTGTTTTTCTGTTCATACGTCTTATTTCACAGTCACCATTAAAGCTTTGCACACATGTTGTGCGAGTAGAGATTCAGTTGCAAAGGGTGTTTTCAGTATTAGGAGCACTGCTTACATGAATGCAAAGCAGACCAGTGGCCTTCCAGTCATGTGTGAAACAGAATTAAAAGTGGCGTAACATTAAGCACTGTAAAAAGGGATAGAGGAGGACTGTGAATTTGATAGGTTCAGTAATTTAATGGGTGAACACTGATTCCTAACTTACCAGAAAGTTCATTGCTATTATTATATTTAATGTATATTGTTGTGGTGCCTAGAAGCTTCAGTCATGGACCAGAGCCCCTTTGCATTGGGATCTGCACAAACACAGAACAAAATGCCAGTTCCTGTCCCCAAAAACTTACTGTTAATAATATTAAAACTTGAGGGCCAAGCCTTTGGGTAGTTTTTGTTTTCCCCTTTCCTGCATTAAATCAACAGGAATTCTGCTAGAGAATGGGATGGAGTAAGGATCATAGTAGTGAGTCCAGAGCTGGTCTTCAGGAAAATGGTGCACCGGGTGAACTTGAATTTTGGCACTCCCCCAGAGCCCTCTCCCAAAGTCAGTGGTGCTGCTGCAGGCAGAGGCAGGCAGGCAGGCAGGGGCGCAGTCTAGCAGGGAGGCAGAGTGGCATGGTGCTTCAGGCAGGCAGGTAGGGCAGACACCACTACTGCCACCCTCACTGTGCAGCCCAGCTCCTCCTGAGCAGCAGCTGAATGTGGGGGGCAGGCTCGGCTGGGCACTGCTCTTTCTGCCTGGGGTGGGGATCAGCCGGGGTGGGACGGGACAGGGGGAGAGCACTGCTGTGAGCATGGCTGCTCACATGTGTGTGTGTACATGTGTGTGTGGTGCCCACCTGACCACAGCACCCTGGGTGGTTGCCCACATTGCCCACCCCTAAGTCTGGCTCTGAGTGAGCCTTTATTCTTATTGTTATCCCAACACTATGAATTTCAGAGGAACAAAGTCATCACCATTTAATTTAGATCAAGGATGGAAGATTTAGAGCGCACCTTTCTCAGTATTATAGAAGTGCCCATCAGCATTGCTGTCTGAAGCACCTGTGGTCCAGTTTACACAGGGCTGTTGTGATACCCCCCATCAAAGGATTGATATAATTCCTGTGCTTTTTTGTGCTCAAATTTTCTTCATTTCTTGCCATATCTAACCCTGGTTATCAATTTTTCAACTGAACATTCCTATCTAATTGAAAAGTCCTCAACAAAACACTCTCTATCCTTATGTTATATACTCACTCTATCTGGCCTTCTAGCATGTACTTCCTAAACAGGAATGATTGAAAAAAATCCCATCATATTTTTACACTTATTCACTGCAGGCCTCTTTTATATCCAGTGTATATTTATTTCAGAGAGCCCAGTGCAGAATAAGAGCAGCTTTCACATGCCTTCCTTTGATTAATCTCTGGCCAATTTGCTTACAATATGACTGATCCCCACTGCCAGGCTTATTTCTGTTTTTTAATTAATGATTGCTTTATGTAAAATGCAGAGACAAAAATGGGACTGTTTCAGATCCTGCAAGTTAATAGCAATCATATAATTCCAGCATTGTTTTATGAAAAAGAAGTCCTTTTTGACATGCTGTTGGCTAAAGGATCTTAAAAAGAAAACTAGGAATAAACAAACATTGTAGACGTGCTCAGCAGCCCCCCAGTGGCAGCTGTGGGATCAAAAAATAATGCCCTTTTGTGTGTTACAGGGTGATATTGCCTCTTGTGCTGGATCCTATTTACATCTATGGACCATCAATGGGCAGCCCCTTGCAAGTATAAATACCACTGGCAGCCTGGAAGGGGAGATTATTTGCTGCTGTTTCACTGAAGTAATGGACTGGGATACACGCAGTGTCATCGTTACTGGGGGCACAGATGGCATTGTGAGGGTAGGTGTTTCTCTTTGGGGAGCTGTTCTTGCTAAGCTTATTGTGGATCATGGGCACAGTCTGAACAAAGTGACTGGTCTTTGCTAAACCCTTTGTTGCTTCCTGATGCAGCTATGGAAGATGGAATATGCCAAAGCCCCAGACCAGGTGGTTGGATCAAGACCACAAAAAGACACAACAGAAATTCTGGACAACAAAGGTATGGATTCCTGGTTCTGCATGGAAACAGCAATGTTGAGTGCCTTGTACATCTGTGAAAGAGAAGCTGGCAAGGCTTGGAAAGGGTGATAAGAATCAGAAAAAGCGAGAAATCTTCCCTTCCTCACTAACCAGGAAAAAAAATGATGTTATAGACCTAAGCACCCAGTGCATGTTCTGAAATGAAACAGGTGTTTCCATTGCTTTTTATTTCCTGACTCTGGAAAGGCCAAAAGCTATGAAAATCACTTGTTTTACAATGTCTGACCTAAGCCATAAATTTGTGCCACTGCTTTTTGCTGATGTGCACGCTTCTGCATGTGGGGTTTGGTGGAGGGCAAATTGTCCCAGGTAGAGTAGAGGAGGCCATACCTAGGGTCCTGGGGGCCTCCTGGGACAGTAGTGGTGCTGATCTGGCTGCTTGGAACTGGGCTAGCAGCCAGAGTGTGGCTTTGGCCAGCCAGGCTCCATTTCTGGTGGCACACACTGCTGCCGCTTGCTCCACTCCACCTTTTTTCCCACAGCATTTTTTTAACACTGGGATATCCCAGTGTCAAATTTTGGTACCACGCTGCAAATAAGTAGCATGGTGATTGATTGCATATGTGCCGCATGCAGTTTGCGGTGCCTCGTCTGGATGTGCCCTAAAAGTCTCAGTGGTCATCGCCTCACCCCAGCTGGGAACCATATTTGTGGGATTAGTGTGTTCCCTTCTGCTACAGACATAGGGAAATTGATTCTTATGTGGGTCATCGGAGAGGCACATGCTTTAAAAAGCCCGTGGCAGAGAGAGAAGGCTATGCTTCAGGCATTGGGCACACTTCAGTTCACCTTAATTTTGTAACTGGACTCACTCAGAGACAAGAGCTCTTCCTGGCTGAAGCCTGTGTGGCCTTTCTTCTTCACCAGGGAGACAGAACAGCCATGCAACAATCAGCAGTGAATATAATGTTCTCCCAGTGCCTGGCCCTCGTCAGATCTCTCTTTAGAGTTACTGCAGGATTATCTCTCTCATTGAACATCTTCCCTCTTATGGGAATCATTAGCTCCCTATTCACTTCTAACTGTGAGCCCAGATCCTGTTCCTAACTTTAAAGGCCCTCAGTGACACTGAATCAGGGTCTTCACTGTATGTGGTGCAGCAGAGTAGGACTTAAAAAAACATGGGTACCTTGAGACCTTCAGAACAGTTTGGGCATTTTCACCCAGATTGCTTGATCTGCTTTCCACTGGATGCATTGTTCATTGTCCCTGTTGTAATTGTGCTGCTCGTCAGCTATTTAGTTCCAGCCCAGAGATAACTGTCCTTTAGCAACAATGGGATGATTCTTACCTGCATGTGTACATTGTACAGTGAGGTCCTTGTGGTCAGGTGAGTGGTATAGTTCTACTGTTACAACTAGCCTGGGGAAGGACTGCCATGAGTTACAGAGCAGTAGCCAAATCATGCCTGGGGTGCTAGCACTGGGACATGAGGAAGCTTGGTACTTCTAGGAGACAGCTGTCACCAGCAGGATTGGGCCCAAGATGAGTACTTGGTTACAGTTTCAGTAATTTTAGCATTCTTAATAAACCGCTCTGCTGCATAAATGTCAGAGAGAAAGAGTCCCCCTGTCACTGGCTAAAACAACTGCTGAATCCAAAAGGGCCCGAGTGGCTAAAAAGTCTATTACTGTAACATCTGTGCTGGTGGCCATCATAAAGGGACCTGGCCAGCTTCCAGCAGTGTTCAGTACCAAGCCCCACATGAGGCTGGAGGAGTAGGGGCCCCCTGCCTCTGCTCAGTTTGTTTGCTGCCTTTGCCATCTACAATGAGATTGGAGGCTTTTCAAGGCAGTGTGAGACCAGCAGAGGGCTCCTGGTGCTTGGGTTTGGGTCTGCCTCCCTTCCCCCACTGCATTCCTAAGCAGCAGGTGGTTATACTGAGCTGAAGCAGGCAATACTACACCTATTGCAGCAAGTTAGAGGCATATGATATGATGAAAGTTACAATATCGATGTAGTAATAAAAGCAATTGAAGTTAAAACTTCCCTGATCAAACACATACAGGATCTGCCAGGTGTCTTTAACAGTACAATCCAACATCAGGTCTGGTTACTTTCCCAATGCATTTAAGTAAAAAAAATCTGTGTGTTAACATGTATAAGTTACAGCATTTATTTTTGTGACCCTAGTAAAGGCATGCTTAAGGCATTCCCAGTTGTTCCAATATTAAGCAAATAGTTTACATAACAATAGAACTAAGGATGGAACATCTGCTTTAAAAGACAGTAATCAGCGTTACAAATGGGATTGTTGGAAGTACTGAGGTATTATAGCTACACAAATCCCATTGATGAAGCTTCTTCTCCTAAGCGATTTTGGTGCTTGTAGAAATATTCTTACATACGTTGCCCCATAGGGGTAGCCTAACTGGATCAGACCACTTGTCCACCTAGTTCGGTGCCCTGTCTTCAAGGCAGTTAGTGCCAGATGCTTCTGGGGAAGGTGCAAAACCACACAGGTACCAGGAGTGGAATAATCCGCTTACCCTTCTCCATCTTGAGTCTTGTCCTATCAGAGGTTGGTCGAAACCCTGAGCATGATGCATTTGCTAGCATTAAATATACTCATTCTTGATAGTCCTGTGATCCATATAAATGCCGAAGCCATTTTAGAATCTTCCTGGATTCTTCACTTCAACAGTTTCCTGTGGCAGTGAATTCTATAGCTTAATAAAATAGGTATAATTACATGGGTGGTTCCAATTATTTAGGTAGTTTTTATTCAAGGTATATCCACAATGGAAATTTAAATACTTCTGAAGTGTTTTCCTGAATTGGGGTTCCTAGGCTGAATATGGGAGCAGTGAAGAATGACTTCGCCAGTGCCTTTTGCAGAGAGATTCATAAAAGAAGAAATATGTTGAATAGTGATATATAGATACATATTGACAGAGGTGTGTAACAGGGGGCCTTCTTGGGGCTGATTTGCCTTTGGCCCACCCACCTGTTTCTGGGCCAACCACCCACCTTCTCGCCTGCCATGCCTTGATGACATTTAATTAAGTTGTTAATTAAGTGGGAGGCTGCCCATTTTCTTGTCCTGATGCCAGGGGGCACTATCTGCAGCTCTGTACCTCCCCTACACCGCAGCCCATGCTTCACAGATAGCATCCAGGCATGACTCTCACCAGCCCCACACTGGGCTCCAGAATCCTACTCTCAGGACCCCTCCAAGATCGCTCCATTCAGGCAGCCTACCCCATCTTCATTCAGGCTAACTAGCTCCCTGAAACTATTTTCCCCTCTCAGGTGTAGTCCCCCTGGGACCTTTGGCCACACAGGCCCTAGCCTCACCTCCAAGGCCAGTCAGAAACCCCAGGCCCTCTTAGCTGTGGGCATCCTTCATGGTGGGCTCCTGGCCTTTTTGACCATCCTGGTCCTGGCCCCAGCATTGACCAGTCAAGGGTACTCTCTCAATCAGGTCTGAGTCTCTAGCCCCACTCTCCCCTGGGGTCTGCCCTCTGGGCCCTAGTAGCAGGGGATCTACCCGGTTGTGGGGACTGGGGTTAAGATGCCCCAACCCACCGTTCACCGGTGTGGTAACTGGCCTGGCATTTCCTGGGGGCTCCCACATCACTGAGAGCCCCACCAGGCCACCCATTCCTGGCAGGGTGCAGTTTTACATCATGCCCAGGACCAGGAGCCTCCTAGCCATCCCCTACAGCTTCTCTCTTACCTCCAGGACAATGCTAGCAGCTAGGCAGTGTTGCTGCCTGGCCAGCCAGTAGGGAACTGAACTATTTATACAGGCAGCCAGGATCAAAAAGGCTGGCGCAATCAAGCACCTGGTGGCTGCTTGGCTCTGGTCTTAAAGTGACAGGCACAAACAGTGCCCTGCCACAGGATGTAATAGACATACCTGCATGTTCCTTCACATATGAGGCAAACACAGAGCCACACATACATACATAGAGCACCACCTTTAATAATTAAAGTTATCAGACTTAATCACAACAACCACATACTCCCTGAAACTCCTCAAATGATTTCAAAATCGTTTTAAATGTCCTAATAGTCCTACAACTCATTCTATACATTAAAGGAAATAAAATTAATGCAAAACAGAGCCATTAAAAAGAGCAGAGTAACAATGATTATGTTGTTGTTGAGTATATTTGTGTGTGTGTGTGTGTGTGTGAAATGTTCTCAGCATTTAATTATTGGTTCTGTTATGAGCAGATTTAGATAAGTTGATAATACCAGGGCTTTATGTAATTTCTTTTTACTAGGCAATTATAGGCTGCATTATAGCCTGGCAGCAAGGTATTGTGGGGCATCTTATTAAGCATAGAGCCAGTGAAAACTGATGAACAATTTTGCTGAACTAGGCATGCAATTTAGAAAGCAATAATACACAAATCCAATTTAGCACACAATTGATACAGCCGCACGTCAGCACATGTAACTATCATAGCTGCAAATTAAATTGGGATGGGCCTATTTTGCAACAGCACAGGCTGAGATTAAATATATTTGTTCTCAACTTAACAACTTGCTGACCGTAAATAATAACCTCTTCCCCCAAATAAACACTTTCTAAATATTTATGTTTAAACCACCCAACAGGTAACAAGGGGAGAAAACATCTTGTTCTCTGTCGGGAGTTAGATATCAGCATTGCCTTGAATGGAAAACCTAGTAAGAACAATCCAGCGGTGACAGCCCTTGCTGTATCCAGGTACAGTAATTTCTGTTGCATTACGTTGTATGTCCGGCAGAGGACACAGTAGTAAGAATCCAGGTGCCTTTATTTTTATTTTTTCTAAAAGTCTCAAGTAAAATATTTCAGCCATACTGAGATGTGACCTGTATGGTTCTCATGAGTTAAATGTGAGCAGGGGTAGTCTGGATTTGGAAAGGAGATCTTCATGGAAAGAAAATTAGACAGCTCTTGCAGGAAATAGCGGGGATGGTTAGTAACCGCTGCTCCTGCCTCTGAGTTGGTGTAAAGCAGTGGTCTCCTCCAACCTTTTTAAGTCCGAGATCACTTCTAAAATGTAAAAGGAACCTAATATCTACACCCCCCTCTTCTTCCCACCCAGCAGGTAAATCTGTGGGGAGGGAAGTGGGTGGGGGGCAGGAAGGGCCATGGGGGGACAGGGCAGGTTGAGGCCCCAACCCTAGCCCCACTCCCTTTCTCACCGTTGAGGCCTTGATTTGCATCCCACACAATGGCAGTGAGGGACGGACCAAGGCTGGAGCAGGGGCAGGCCCTGCACAGCCAGGGCAGGGCGGGACAGAGCTGTGAGCAGCTTGTTCAGGGAGCATGGGGAGGGGGCATGCCCTTAAAATTGCATGGGGTGGGGCAGGCTGCAGCTGCCGGCTGGTGCTGGGCTGTTTCCGGCAGAGGCTGGAGCTGCACTATGGTCAGGCTGGGCAGCGGTGGTGCTGGGAGAGGGTTGTGGGGGCTACAGCAAATTTTTGGGTGGCTGCAGCCCCCCGTAGCCCCGCTCTCAGCACCGCCACTGCCCGGCCCAACCCGCAGCATGGCCCCAGCCTCCACTGGGAACAGCCTGGCCCCAGCCGGCAGCTGCAGCCTACCCCATCCCATGCAATTCTGGGGGCACGTGCCCTCCTGTGCCCTCCCAGGGTGTGTGCGCCCCCATCCTAGGCGCTCACGCCTCCATCCCAGCCCGCCCTGGCTGTGCAGGGCCTGCCCCTGCTCCCTCTCACTGCTGCTGCAGCCACTGCAGCACATGCACACACGTTCAGCACCTCCCAGCCCAGGATCGACTGCAAGAGACTCCAGGATCCACCAATCAATCCTGATCAACCAGTTGGTGACTACTGCTGTAAAGCCCCTGTCCCAGTGGCTACTGGAGTTGCTGTCTTTTCAGTAAGATAGGAAAAATCTGTAACCAGAATTGATCTTTAAGGGCACCTATACACATGCTGGACATCTTCTATGACGTGTTAATTAGTGCATGTTGGAGCAGACTTGATTAACTGATTAATCAAGTCTGCTGGAGTGTGTTAGTTAGCATGCTCCAACAGCCTGCATCACGTGTATTCAGCATCCCCATGCTTCAAAATGGTGGTGGGGTGAATGTTGAACAAGCTTTAATTAAAGTGCCCCCACTGCCATTCTGAAGCACAGGACACTGAATACACATGACACTGTGGGCACTTTAATTAGAGCAGCTCTGAGAGCAGCACCGCCTGCACCCTGGAGCACATGTAAAGATGCTCTAAAGGTTCCGTGGCTTTGCTCTTAAAAATGAACAGGGCCCCTACAGTTTTGACCGGTTACAGTGTTGTCCTCACTTGCTGTCCTGTAATATTCCTCTGTGCTGTTAAATACCTGTTGTGGCTCCTCTCTTGAAGCACTGGCATTTCATTGTTCATTGAAGTGATTCCTGCCTGTTTAGATTGCATAACACTTTTGAAGTGGGGTGGTACTGTGACATGAACCATTTAAGATTCAACACTCATTAATGATGATGCCACTGAGTATGCAGAGGATACAGATGCCAGTGAATAAAGTTATGACATAACACTGGGGGTGAACTTTATTCTTGGAATTGCCTGACAAATAGATTTAATATTTGTGGGTGTGTGTTGCTACTGGAGATGGATCCAAACAGGGTGTTAAGGTTCAAGTTATGATCTGTCCAGGGACCATAATGATCCAAGGTACATCAAACCTTGGATCTAAGCTATACTGAACTCTGGGGAAGTTTGGATCTGAAGCCTGGTCCAGTCTTTGTAGTTTGGACCTTTGTCTGCACTGTGTCAATGTTCTTCAGGTTTTGTGCCCACCATCACAGCTGCTCTCCAATTCAGTGTCTTGATCCTGTGTTTTCAGTTTTGATTTTGTTATTAAACACTGATCTGTTCTTTTCTTTTCTTCCTTTTTTTTCTCTTCCAAGAAACTCTTCTAAGCTCCTAGTTGGCGATGACTGGGGGAAGATACATTGTTGGTCCATAGATGGGTAGGAAGAAATGACAAGGAGCTCTTGTTCTCAACCACTGTGAAGTCTGGATGGAAAGAAAATTATCCTTCAAAGCACACAGGATTTGGAAGAATGGAAAGGGCACAGAGGGGAATTAATTTAATTGGAGACAATGGATTGTAGGATCAAGTTTGGATCAGATAAAAACATAAGAAGGGCTGTACTGGATCAGAATAATGGTCTTCATAGTCCAGTATTTTGCCTCCAGTGGTGGCAAGTAGTAGATGGTTTCAAAAGAGAGTATATAAATGGGGCACATCTAGAATGATTTATCACTTGCCATACCCTCTGTGGCATCAGCCATCATTGGTTTAAAATATCAGAAGATACTTTTCTGATTGTTCTATTTAATAGCTATGAATGGAACTTTCCTCCATGACTTTGTCTAATCCCTTTTTAACCTGGTCATATTCTCTACTTCTACAACTGCCTGTGTTAATGAGTTAACTATACACTGTGTAAAAATGTACTTTCTCATGTTAGTTTTAAACTTGCTTTCTGATCATTTCAGTGGGTGTCCCCTAGCTCTTATATTCTGGGAGTTGGTGAATAACGATCCACATTCACTTTATCCACACACTTCATAGTTTTATAGACCTCTATCATATCCCCCTCTACCTTTCCCTTTCTAAACTGAAGAAACCTAGCCGTTTTAGTTTCTCTTGGTACAGCGGCTACTCCATATTCCTGATCATCTTGGTTGCTTTTCTCAGTACATTTTCTAATTTTACTACATCCTTTCTAATACACAGAGACCAGAACTACGTGACACATTCAAGATGTAGATGCACTGTGGACTTAGAGTAGCACAGGGATTTTTTTAATGTTTTGTTTTCAATTGCCTTCTTAATGATACCTAACATTTAATTGGCTTTTTTTGTCACTGCTGCACATTGAGCTGACATTTTTAGAGAACTATGTACAGTGACTCCAAGGTCTGTTTCCTGAGTGGTAACAGCTAGTTCAGAGCCCAGCATTGCATATGTATAGTTGAGGTTCCCTGTAATAAGGATGCAGAACTTGGTACTATGATGCATTATTGGTCCTGCTTTTCAAAGTAATAGGGTCCAGTCCTGTCTACAGCACACATACAAATTATCAATATGTTTGCTAATTAGAATCACTACCAGTGGGATAAGAATCTGTTGTTGTGGCCCCTGTAACAAACCAGACTCATGTTCCTTCTGGATTCCAAGAAAAGCAGTAAGAATTTCACCACTGGCTTCAGTAGGAATAGATCTGTAAAAGCTAAATGTTGCTGGAACATGGAATAGCAGATACTTCTTGGTATGTACATTCAAAGAGCATATAATTTTCCTTTGTATAAAGTCTGTTTTTATGCTAAGTAAAATCAAGATGTTTACTAATAATGAGTTAAAGTTGTTCAATTTACTCAGTGGGCAGTGGGATGAAATTTTTTAAGCCTCAGATTTGGGCGGTGGTGGGTAAATGTCATTCTGGGATGTTGATTACACCTCATAGCGTCTCTTTCTTCATGGACAATCCAAGTGGTGTGCTCCAGTTGTGATCCTAGTCAGTGCTTAGAGTTAAAATCAGCATTCACAAAGGACCAAAACCAATCCATTGAAATCCATGGAGAAGCAACCAGTCAAAACAGCTTGATGGCTATCCCCAGTTCCCAGAGATATCAGCAGAGAGTGGGATTTATGAAGCAGTCATGCTTATGTAAAGTTATTGAGAAGGGATGGTATCACATGCATTGGAGATGCCTGTGATGTAGTGTATTTGGGGCCTAGGAGGTGGTACCATCACAGCTCTTTCCTCACCAATCAGGCCTTACATTCCATCCAGAAACAGGGTGCCACTCTTGCATCTCAATATTTCATAGATGCATATGATCTGACATCACTAACTTCCTTTGTGTTGGAGCCACAACCCCCACAAGGGATCATTTGGAGGCTGCCATGGATGGGGGGCGGGAGGGGGAGATTTGTGTCTGAAATGTAATAGTGATCCCCATACTTGCAGGCAGAAACCAGGCAAGAAGATTCAAACATTAATATAATTGGGAAAAGGAAGCTTTATTCTTTTACTGCTGGAGCTTCCCTTCCTCCTCCCAAGTCCTGTGGTAGCACCATTGTCTAAGCCTTAAGTGGGAGGAGTGCTCAGCCAAATCCGAGTGGTTGTAAAGCTTTCTCTCATGCATGGATGACCTTTATCTGACGCAGGAAGTCTACGGGCTGATGAGAGGTAAAGTGCTGCTAGACCTGGTTCTGGCAACCGGGTATGACCTAATCAGCAACATAATGATTGAAGGGAAGCTGGGTGACAGTGATCACAAGCTGATCACCTTTATCATGCGCCGTAAAGCTGGCAAGTCAGTCAGTAATACAGAAGTCCTCGACTTCGACACGATCAGGAGGCTTGCCAGGGTGGCCCTAAAGGGCCACAGCCCAAAGGGGAAGGGAGTTCAGGATGAGTGGTTGCTCCTCAAGGGAGCGATCCTGGATGCACAAGCAAAGTCTATCCCGTCTCAGAGGAAAGGCAGCAAAAGGGCACAGCAGCCCCCTTGGCTCTCCAGGGAACTATTGGACCTCCTGCATCTTAAAGGAAGACCTACAAAGGATGGAGGACTGGAACCACCACCAAGGAGGAATACTCTGCTCTGGTCCGGATCTGCAGAGAGCAAACCAGGAAAGCTAAGGCTGAGACAGAACTCCAGCTAGCTACACATATGAAGGACAATAAAAAGTCTGTTTTTAGATATGTGGGGAGCCGGAGGAAAAGCAAGGGCAACATTGGACCCCTGCTAAACCAGATGGGACAACTGACAACTGATGCCCAGGAAAAAGCAAACTTGGTAAATGGGTACTTTGCATCAGTTTTTCACCAGTCCCATGGGACGCCCCTGCCCATTGCGGGACAGGGAGGCCTGGGTGAGGGAGATTCCTTACCCTCCATCAAAGTTGACCTTGTGAAGGAACACCTGGACGGGCTGGATACCTTCAAGTCAGCCTGCCCTCACAGTTTACACCCAAGGGTACTCAAGGAGCTGGCAGGCATCATAGCTCAGCCCCTGGCATGGATCTTCGAGAACTCCTGGTGCTCTGGTGAAGTGCCCAAAGACTGGAAGAAGGCCAGTGTGGTGCCTATCTTCCCTGAAGGGAGGGAAGTAAATCTGGCAAATGACAGGCCCATCAGCCTGACCACTATCCTGGGGAAAGTCTTGAAAAAGATTATCAAAGGGACTAGATGACTGCAGTATCCTGAGGGATATCCGTAACAGACTAGACGATGGCAATATCCTGAGGGATACCCAGCATGGGGTTGTTGCAGGTAGGTCTTGCTTGACCAATCTCATTTCCTTTTATGACCAGGTGACCTATCACCTGGACAAGGGGGAAGAGATTGATGTCATATATCTTGACTTCAAAAAAGCCTTCGATCTGGTATCCCATGATCACCTCTTGGCAAAACTAGCTAACTATGGCCTTGACCTCACCACGATCTGCTGGCTGGGGAATTGGCTCTGCGGTAGGACACAGAGGTGGTGGTTGACAGTAGTCAATCGTCATGGTGCACTGCCAGTGGGGTCACTCAAGGCTCTGTCCTAGGGCCTATACTTTTCAACATCTTCCTCAATGATGTAGACATTGGTGTCAGAAGAGGGCTGGCCAAGTTCCCTAATGACACCAAACTCTGGGGTAACGCATCCACACCTGAGGACAGGAGGGTGATCCAGGCAGATCTTGACAGGCTCATGAAATGGGCGGATGTGAGTCTGATGGTGTTTAACAATGAAAAATGCAAAGTTCTCCACCTTGGGATGAAAAACCTGCGGCATGCTCATAGGCTCAGCAGTGCTACGCTGGCTAGCACTACAGACGAAAGGGACTTGGGGGTCATGATTGACCACAAGATGAACATGAGCCTTCAATGTGATGCTGTGGCTAGTAAAGCGAGCAAAACGCTGGCTTGCATCCACAGATGCTTCTCAGGCAAATCCCAGGATGTCATTCTCCCATTGTACTCGGCCTTGGTGAGGCTGCAGCTTCATAGTTTCATAGTAGCTAGGGTCAGGAGGGACCTGAACAAATCATCTAGCCTGACCCCCTGCCACAGGCAGGAATGAATGCTAGGTTCACAAGACCCCAGACAGGTGATCATCCAACCTCCTCTTGAATTTGCGCAAGGTAGGGGCGAGGACCACTTCCCTGGGAAGTTGGTTCAATTTTGGCCACCCTACCTGTAAAATATTGCCTTCTGATCTCTAACCTAAACCAATTCTCTATCAGCTTATTAGCATTGTTCCTTGTCACCCCAGGTGGTGCTGGGGAGAAAAGGGCTCTGCCTATTTGCTGTTGATCTCCCCTGATGAGCTTGTAGGCAGCCACTAGGTCTCCCCTCAGCCTCCTCTTGCTGAGGCTGAAGAGGTTCAGGAGTACTGCATCCAGTTTTGGGCTCCACAATTCAAAAAGGATGTGGAGAAGCTTGAGAGGGTGCTGAGGAGAGCCATGCGCATGATCAGAGGTCAGGAAAAAAGACCTTACGATGAGAGGCTCAGAGCCATGGGACTAGCTTGGAAAAGTGCAGACTCAAGGGCGATCTGGTGGCCACCTATAAGTTTATCAGGGGTGTTCACCAGGATCTGGGGGCACGTCTGTTCACCAGAGCGCCCCAAGGGATGACAAGATCAAACGGTCACAAACTCCTCCGCGACTGATTCAGGCTGGACATAAGGAAGAACTTCTTTACTGTCCGGGCCCCCAAGGTTTGGAATAGACTGCTGCAGGAGGTGGGTCCAGCACCGACTTTGAACACCTTCAAGACACATTTGGATGTTTATCCTGCTGGGATCCTATGATCTCTGATGACTTCCTGCCTCTGGGGCAGGGGGCTGGACTTGATCCTCTGGGGTCCCTTAGCCCAAATGTCTATGAAATCTATGAAATCTATGAAGTATCAATGTGATATGCAGCCTCAGACCAAGCAAATTAAGGTGCACCATTACAAGTACGTAGCTCCTCCTGGTTTGCAGAGGGGCCCATGTCACAGTGCCCTTCTTGCTGAGATTCATTTGTGCCCATAGCACAGATAGGACCTTGGACAAAATTAAGCCCAGCATTATTTTGCACCAAAACCTATGTAGCCCGGGTAACTCGGGTATATACTTCCCTTCTCCAATTGAAGGGAATTGTTAGTTGGCAGGTGCGCTGTGGAGGAACTGCAGACCGCTCAGTTTCCCTCCATCCCAATAGAACCAGGCCAGGACAGTCAGGGGACTTAACTATATACAAATTTATTTACATTAATTTATTACAGGGAAAAGAAACATGGCTATAAACATATGTATAATATATATTTATAGGATATTTAAACAAATAACATAAACAATACCCTCTGGGTAAATGCTATAAAACCTTACACCAGCGCTCCAGATACAGGTTAGTATCTGATCTGAAACAGATAAACCCCAAAATAAACATAGATAGCCAACAGATAAACTATAGATAAGTATGGGTGAACAGTAAATAAGCCACAAATAAATACAAATAAAGAACAGGTGAAATAATAGCAACAGGGGGACCCAGCAGAGCCCTAGGACTCTACTCATCTACTAATTTACAAACATGAGAGTTCACAAAATATACGGCATGACATTACATCACATATGGTGCAAGAACCCATTAGATAAACTTAATCCCAAGGGGAAACCCCAATGCCCTTGGGCTTTTCCCAAGCCCTACAAGGAAGCTGGTAACTTCAGGGGGGCCCTCCCAGTGGGACCTCCATTTTCATGAGTCCTTAACTAACCAGGAAAGACTCCCACTCCCCTGTGGGAATCCTCTTTTCCCTGCAACTCATGGCTCCTAGGCCTGGCAGGTGGCCCTCATCCTCTGCACTAAGCTGCTCTCTCGCCTGCAGTGGGCTTCGGTGGGGTCACTGTCCCCTGGGACAAGGGTCTGTTATGCAGGGCTTCTGGGGCCTCTGGCTTGGCCCTGTCCACTGGCTCAGTAGCCCGAGCACCGTCTGGCTCCCTGGACTCAAACTTTTGCTATGGGTTGGAGGCCTGGGCTGCCTCGGGCTCCCTGCCCCTCCGTGCAGCACCTCCTGCACTGAGCTCCCAGCCTTGTTCCAGGGGTTGAGGACCTGAGCTGCCCAAGCGCTCCAAAGATCTTGCTCTGTGCACTGGCCTGAGCACCGTGTCTCTGGCCACATGCCAGGGGTTAGAGACCCAAGCCGCCTCACGCAGCTCCCAGGGTCTGGACACCGTGCACCGTGCTGCGCACTGAGAGCCTAGCCACTGGAGCCCTCCACTGTTCCCTGCTGATGGAATTC